AGTGGCCGGCCCAGCCCTAAACCACAACAGTCATATATTTCCTACGAAGTAGGAAGCTTTCAGAGTGCATTAATTATGGTCCTGTAGATTTTATCATAGTCTCTGTCAATCTCAGTAGATTTCAGTATATAACATGGTTTCTAATTTCAAAGGTACCTTAGGTATAATGAGCTATATCCCCAAGGACTGACAGAATATTTCCTTAAAAGAGAGTTAAAAACATGCTTAGAACTAGGATTTTTTCCATTGCACTGATTTTGACTATTTGAACTCCAGATAGGTTCCTCTCCTATAATCTGCATCCATAGAAGTTGAACAGACCATCATAAATTTAAGTTTAACTGAAAAAAACCAGAAGAAATTCAGAGTCTCCTTTGGCTTCTGCTGGCATAGAGGAGACTTGATGACTACATTTCCACTGAACTCCCTCAGCTTCTTAACTCAAATTTTCCTAAGCAGATAGTAAAGATGAGTTAAGAGCAGCAGTTTTTATCATAGAATGCTACTTGTAAAGTGAATATTTGTACAATGATACTGTTCAAACACAGCGAATCTTATAGCAAAATGCAATATATTTATATACAATTTTCTTCCTACAATGTATCATTAGGATAGAATACAGAAATAATTTTTCGTATTTTCTAACTAGAACACAATTTGTGCTATGCCATAATTCAGCTCTCAAAGTGTTTTCCATAATTTTTAAAACTGTAGCATTTTTTAACTTAATTTTCTTTGTTATTTTTTCAGACATGCCTGAGCAATGGTTTGACAAGTAGGGGAAAATTTCTGAACATCAGGCATATGATTAATTGAACAAATGGTACGAATTCTGTTATGTCTGTCTTTAACCTAACCTAACACACTTGAGACACTTGGTTATATCCAAATCTCAAGAATTCTCAAGAATTAGGTTTTCCTTTCTGTAGAGAAAATGAATATGCTTGTTTAGGGTACAAAGGTGAGAAAGAATGGAAAGATGAAGTAGGGCATACATTTCTGGTGCCTGAGTAAATAAAGTTTGGCATGGCACAATGGATAAAATAAAAACACGATGTTATAAAATTCAAACATTTTTAATACATTATGATATTATAATAATATGGATAATGAGACACTCTAAACAAGATTAAATCCTCGGTGTGCTATATACAGTTATACAGTCAAGATAGGATCTTATCCAGAGATCTAACTGTCTGAATAAGAGAGAAGAACATGAGAAAAGTGAGATTAAAGACCAGATTAATCCTAGGAAGTAGTGTGAAGAACTCAACTGTGTCACCAGTGTCTCAGGAAATGCAGCAAAACCAAGCCTGAACAAAGTATTTTTGCACAGTCCCGCAGTCATAATACAACACTTTTTCAAGAATCCAGAAACAAGTAACCTGGGGAAACTACATACAGTTTAGGAAATGCCCCAAGTTGAGAACGGTTAGATGCTAGCAGGGTGCACAATGGAAACACTACAAGTGTATGCCCAGCTCTTACTTCTTCCTAGTGCAGAGGGGAAAATGGTCTAGACCAACCTAATTTTGAAGTTCAAAATAATGAAGAAGAACAATGCAAGTAAATGGCATTTGAAGTTATTTACTGGATTCCCTGCAGCTGGTGTAAATCATGCAGGTTGGGTGTTAAAGATGCCCTCAGTGCTTTTCCAGAAAACAAAATGGTGATCCTGCAAACAAACTTGCAAAGGGTCACTTGTGTGATACCTGCTGCTCCATATCCATGAAGGGCACTAGTTAACCTCACTGTGTAAGGCAAGTTATAAATATCCTTTCAGATTTACAGCACAAGGGCAAATTATAATACTCTCTAAATGAAACTGATCAATTAATGTCCTTTGCTTCAGAGCTAAGTGTTCATTAAAGGCCTGGTAAAAGTGTAGTTACAACAGACCTGCCACAAAACTGCCTCTGTGAAGAGCTATGAGCTTAGCAAAGGCAATGAAAAAGGGCTGCCCATCCCACTTGCCTCACAGAGCAGGCTTAATCCTGCCCAAATGCCCAGCTCACATCCTGCTGCCTGCTGTGTCCATCACCACTGCCCTCTGCTCAAGAAAAGGCAGGCACCCTGAGGGTCTGTAATAAGTGAAGTACATGGGCATAAGCTACCCTTTGTAGCAAGGTCTTTGGGAACTCAAGGATTGCCTAGATTGCCATCTAGGCATTGATGCCGTGCCCTACAGCTAGAAAAACAATTTAAAACAATATAAGTAATAGGCCACTGCACAGTAACCAACATATTATTACATCAAAAAGAAATTAGAGTCTTTGTATTTGAGTAACATAAATGAACTGATGCGTGCAGAGGAACTGAAGTTAAATTAGAGGGAAATAATATGTTGCTTAAAACAAAATTTATTTTTTTCTCAAACTCTAGTAAAACATGAACTGTGCTAGGCACAATCAAAGAAAATTTTATTTATCCTCTAACATTTTCAAAACCGGCACATTTACTTAAATGACAAAATTTAAAGTAAAATACTGTAGCATCATCGGAATGATAAATACACATTAACAAGTAAAAATACATTTGAATTGAAAGCAATGCACCCAACTGCATGCTGCTGAAGGTAAAATACACCCAGGCATATTTAAATAATTCAATTCAATACCTTGCATAATATGAAATATCTTTTCTCTTACCATCATAAAATTATCAAAGGTATCTTGAATATAACTATTTAGTTATTTAGTAAGTTTCTCTGCATACCTGCATCCCATACAGAAACAACAAAAGCAGAATGATTTTTGCCTCAAAAATTAAGGCCTACATTCTACTGTCTAAATTTTTTTTTCCTGTAAGTCAGGTGCAATTGCACATATACATTTAATTTAATAATACATTTAATCTAACTTTATATACAGACATGTAAAACATCACTGTATGTTTGACTACACTGCTACAAATTTTGCTGCAGTTTCAGCTGCAGCATATACTTCATACATAAGCAGCTTTGACATATGCCCTAAGAGCAAAAGCAGCTATAAGTTCACCTGACTTAAAATCAAAATTTTTAAAAAGTAGACTTTATTCTCTTTTCAAAATGGTCTTACCTCTTCTTTTGTCTTTTTTGATATGACTCTTAGCCAGTCTCCAATCATGCTGAGGACAGCTGCAAAGTAAGCAAGACCAACAAGGATCCAGAACCACACCACTGGCTTATAAAAATCTAGGTACTCAATATCTGATCCTCCTGAAAAACAATAAAGTTAAAAATAAAACAGATTTAATAATTATATGTGCAAAACGGTTTTAAAATTAATTATTTTCCTAAATAAATAGAGAAATAAATAGTTCTTACAACTTCTATTTCCTTACTCATGCAAAAATTCATAGCAAAACATTTTGTTGAATTTGAATAAATGATGACCTAAGTTCATCCATTCTTGAAAACACAGTTTGAAGCATGCAAATTTTGGACAATGATTGCTCATCATTCATAGTAATTAAAAAATGAACACAAACTGATTCAAATTCTGATATATCATTATTTAGGGCAGAGGTCATTGAGGACATCTTGAGTGAAAGGACATCCCACTTGCTTCAAATAATAATGCTGTACCAAATGTTAAGTATTGCTCTGGAATATGTAATGTGCTCATGTCCCAAGAAATCTGATATTGCAAGGATTTTTTATATACATCTCAATACTTACCTTAATCCCTTAGCCCTAGTAAAGAATAACACCTGCATTAGCAAGTGTCCCTGTGAGGTAGGCAAACATTATTATCTCCATTTTTGTAGAGGATGAAACCAAGGTGCAGGGACTTGAGCTGAACTGATCGTACTAAAAAAACCCTTGAATAAAATAGAAGTCAGCTGAAGCCATCTTTTATTCAATCCCATTGCCATAAGCACTAGTCACTTCTTTCCTTCCAGTGTTAAAGTAAAAAAGGATAAATTTCAGAGATGCCTGTAATGGAGCTTTTAGGTACAATACAGCTATAGAGAACAGATGCTTTATTTTCACATAAAAAGAGTTATGTTCATCCAGAGCTCTTGACAACACAAAATAATTCACATTTCATATCTTTCAGTACAATAAAACAGAAGACTTAAACCTGCTATTCAGCTGTGTTACCACAAATAAAATTAGGCTCCTAGTCTGGGTTGCTGCGAGTAGAAGTCTCATGTGCATATCTGCCCACAATTGAAGAGACCTTACAGTAAAACCCTTTCCGGCACACTAAAGTAGTCTTTACAGGTACATAATATGTTGCTTTATGTATCTGTATGCTGCACTGAAACAAAGGAAAATTGGCCCAAAATACCAAGCATCTTGTTACAGTAACAAGATTAATTCTCATGAAGAGTAATGTTTATTTCCTAGGGGTTATTATCTAATCACCACAGAGATTAAATGCAAATAAAGAATTTTACTGATGGTTATCTTTGTATGGAAGCCCTCATACACAGAAATGCTGTTGTTCTCAAGTCCATGAGCCTTTGCATCAATAAAAATTGTTGAGTTGTAGGGGTTTACTCAACTGCCCAAAGAGATGAATCCACATAGTAAAAATGGAAATGCTTCAACAGCTGTCTAGTCACGAGTAAGATAGAAGACAGAGCTCTGTCTGGAACAGAGGACACCAGCCACTAAAGGGTAGAGTATGTCACACCCCAAGACAAATTAACTATCAGTAATGAATCAATGTATTAACATCATCCAGCTCACATCTATCCAGTAAAACAGAATTTAAGGGATGATTTGCCCAAAATTTGTTGTAATTCAAAAAGTGGTTGGTTACCACCATGCCTTTGCTCTATCAGAAGCTAATAATGAGCCACACTCAATGGTTCACCTTCTTCAGCATTTCCTACAATGGACCAGAAAATATGTTATGAAGCATATATATGTTATATGTATCTACTTGGCTGACTTCTAATTTTTGGTGTGTAAAGTTTATAAACTGAAGCCTATCTCTGCCAGTCTGCAGGGAGCATTTCCTTCACAGTTTATACCTAATTTGTTTACGACAAGGTTAATTACCAGGGCAGGAATGAGGACACATTCATATTCAATCATGAGTTTTCTTTACTGTCTGGCCAGGAGACGGCTCCATCTAGTCATGCCCAAAGGAATTCAGATTTCCTAAAGTTAGAAAGGGGTGGTCAACAACCTTGTAGGAAAAGGCTTAACAGTTAAAAATCTTTATTAGCTGTTGAGCTTATGAATTTCAAGGACTCCTTGGGCGAGACCCCGATTTAGTGGAATACCAGGGAGACAGACATACCTCAGAATGTTTGTCCTGAGATAACTACTGTCTCCAGTGACTACTGGAGGCATTCAGCAAATACACTTAAACGTCATGGAGTGCTATAATGCAGTTACCTGGGACTGTCATTAAATAGGATTACACCGGTAGGAAAACATAAAAGTCAACTGAACTTAAAGCAAATGGAATTCATTAACTATTGATTTACAATTCACATAAATGTGTATGAGTATGTATAGGTAAATGCATTTGCACTGAAGTATGAGATAATTCATCTAATGATTTTACTGGCAACACTGTAAAAAGCAAATCAACTTGATACATTCACATGGATTTTTCATACCATATTTTTTACTAAATAATGCTATCATGCAGAGCGTATTATTTTATGTAGCCCTTTAGGAAGCAAAATAAGGAGAATCAAGAAGCTGAATTTAGTTGTTTGTTTGGCAAAACCAATTCTGTGGGCCAAGGGACAAAACTTTTTTCCAATTCTGTTTGTCCTCTATCTGAAATAGGTTACAACAATCATAAAGAAGAAATATCTCTCTCAACTGGTATATGCTTACCCTTTACCTAGAAATCTCACTGCCATAAACTTTTACAAAAAAGAGCCACAGTTTATTGCTAAGATATTTTCTGGTAAAGATTTGATCCAAAGATCCTGGAAATCAATGAGAAATCAAAGAGCTTTCCCATCCACCTTCA